AATTCCTTTACAATCAAAGCCCATACATAAACATACAAATAATTGTCTATGCCAGCCACTGTCAACCAGGGTTCCTCCAGAGGTAGCTAGGGGTTCCTTGAGCAACTGCCTATTTGCCTTCCATTTAATCATGACTGCACAGTTACATGGGCAAGGCCTCTTGGCAGAGCCAGCTGCATGGCACCAAAGACCTTTTTTGTTGTCCATAAAGGAGGGTTATTTTACCACTGATTACCAGTGTATGAGCAGCATTTTTCCCACTAATATTGTAAGAGGGCATTCTTCCCTCTGACTACCACTGTGTGCGGAGCATTATTCCCACTGAATACCACTGTGTGGGGAGAATTCTTCCCACTGACTGCCACTGTATGGGGAGCATCCTTCCCACTGACCACCATTGTAAGGGGGCATTCTTCCCACTGAATACCACTATATGGGGGAGTATTCTTCCCTCTCACTACCACTCTATGGGGAGCATTCTTCCCTCTCACTACCACTGTATGGGGTGCAATCTTTCCTCCAACTACCACTGTATGGGAAGCATTCTTTCCTCCGACTACCACTGTATGGGGAGCATTCTTCCCTCCGACTACCACTGTATGGGGACATTCATCTCACTGACTACCATTGTAAGGGGGCATTCTTCCCACTGACTACCACTGTATGGGGAGCATTCTTCCCACTGACCACCACTGTGTGAGGGAGCATTCTTCCCACTGACCACCATTATAAGGGGGCAATCTTCCCACTGACTACCACTGAATGTGGAACATTCTTCCCACTGACTACCACTGTATGGGGAGCATTCTGCCCACTGACTACCACTGCATGGGAGCATTCTGCCCACTGACTACCACTGCATGGGGAGCATTCTGCCCACTGACTACCACTGCATGGGGAGCATTCTGCCCACTGACTACCACTGAAAGGGGGGGCATTCTTCCCACTGATTACTACTGTATGGGGAGCATTCTTCTCTGACCAGCACTGTAAGTGGGCATTCTTCCCACTGATTACCACTGTAAGGGGATCCTTCATTCCACTGACCACCATTGTAAGGGGGCATTCTTCCCACTATCACTAAATGGGAAGCACTCTTCCCACTGACTACCACTGAATGGGGAGCATTCTTCCCACTGACTACCACTGAATGGGGAGCATTGTTTCCACTGACCACTATTGTAAAGGGGCATTCTTCCCACTGAATAGGGAGCATTTTTCTCACTGACCACCACTGTAAGGAGGCATTCTTCCCACTAACTACCACTGTATGGGGAACATTCTTCCCACTGACCACCTTTGTAAGGGGACATTCTTCCCACTGACCCATCACTGTATGGGGAGCATTCTTCCCACTGGCCATCACTGTATGGGGAGCATTCTTCCCACTGACCACCACTGTATGGGGAGCATTCTTCCCACTGACCATCATTGTAAGGAGGTATTCTTCTTCAGAAAGATTTTCCCCGCTGACCTCCAATAAATTGTATTAAGCAGAGGTTCCTTGAGGCTTGAAAATGATCTCAAGGGTTCCTCTAGATTTAAAAAGGCTGAGAAATACTGGCTTATACTAATAGTTCATGTATTCCTGAATTCTGTTTTGCTTTAAGTTCTCTTTTAAACATATGCATTATTAACAAAGAATAAAGACTTTTTGCATTAAATGTTTTTATTGCCAAACATAACATAGTAAACTGAATGGCTTGACATTTTGCTGTTTATATAAACATTTATCTTTATATTTTTCCAACAACTTTCAAAATTTCCGTTACAAAAAACATAATACAATATATTTTAATCTTGCTAAAAAATCTCCTATTTTTCATTTGTAATATCTGATGTTTCTATAAACATTTAGAGGTTTATTTACTGGAGACGGTTCACTCAGAATCTTGTGCACTTCTGCATGGAAACCAATCAGCTTCCAGGTTTTATTGCTAAAGCTAAACTGAACAAGCTGGGGTTAGAAGCTGATTGGCTACCATGCACAGCTGCACCAGATTCTGAGTGCACCCATTTTAGTAAATCTCCCCCCAAGGGTTTATTCACACATAAGCAGTCCATTATATTGCACATTAATGTGTATTGCATTAAAGCCCAATTGAAGTTTCATTTTAAATCAGTAAAATACATTCCAGGTACATGAAAACAAAAACTGTGCAAAATCGTCTATGCATTTTCTTTAGAAAACAGCCACAGCCACAGCCAGAGTAGAAAATCCTGTCTTGTGCCAGCATGCTGTACACTGGTGTGCTTGTTCTTAGTGTCTCTGGCATAGTATGCCCCTTGCTGAGTCAGGCCTATAGCTCTACAATGAGCAAACTCATGTTCCCTGTTGATAAGAAAGCTCTAGTCAGCAGTTGTCACTCTCTGTAGCATGAAGGCAAAGGACAGGCTTTTCTATGTAAACTGTGGCTGCTGTCTAAACAAAACAAACACTGTGCACACCTTTTGTTTTGATGCACTTGGATTGTATTGGCATGATTTAAAGTAAATGCTTACTTGGGCATTATGGCCAAACCACCAAAACATTTCAAACTTTGCACAAGTACCTATCCCCCCCCCCCCCCCCCCCCCCCCCCGATTCAGTGTGTCAGATTTGAGGATTGGTGTTCCAGAGTGTCAGTCCTGGAAGCAAATCACACATAGCATGATTTCAAAAGAAATGCTGCTTGCATTTGAAATGTGGTTAATATGCACTCACACTGCATTTTAATTAAATTGTATACAGGACAGAAAGACACACAGTAAAAGTGAACACTGGCCACCAAGATGCACTCCAAAATTTAAAGTGTATCAATGATCAAAATGTAAAATCATATTTAATTTCTACATTGTACTTCAATTATTTCTAGCTTACTTCTATTAACCTGAACAACCTTGAAGTGTATAAACTTACTTTGTGAAGATCTCCACACATTTACTTCCTTGAATTTTGTGATACGTATTCACTATGCCCTGTGAGTAGGCACTGCTGTGTCAAAGAATTCACAGAGCCTGCCTTTTGAATGACAAAGGTGCTGAGAGGAGAAGTTTCAGGAGGCAGAGTCAGCAGAGGTATCACTGCTTGCAGGCAGCGAGGTACCATGGGATATTCACTGATCAGCCGTAACATTAGAACCACTGCCCGGTAAACTGAATAAGATTACAATGGCACCTGAAAATTGGTGGGATAGATTAGGCAGCAAATTAACATGTCCTTGAAAATTATGTGCTGAAAGCAGAAAAAAAATGGAAAGCGTATGGATTTAAGCATCTCTGACAAAGGCCAAATTGTAATGGCTAGACAACTGGTTCAGAGCATCTGCAAAACTGCAGCTCTTGTAGGATGTTCCTGGTGTGCAGTGGTCAGGAACTACCAAAGGTGGTCCAAGGAAAAAAAAAAACAAAAAAACAGCGACAGGGTCATGGGCTGCCAAGGCTCACTGATGCATGTAGGGAGTGAAGGCTGGCTCGCGTTGTCCGATCCAATAAAAGAGCTACTATAGCTCAAATTTCTTAAAAAGTTCATGCTGGTTCTGATTAAAAAAAAAAAAGTGTCAGAACACATAGTTCATCACAGTTTGTTGCCTATTGAGCCACATAGCAGCAGATTGGTCAAGATGGCTAACCCCTATTTACAGTCAAAAGTTCTTACAATCAGCACATAAGCATTAGAACTGGACCACAGAGAAATGGAAGAAGTGGCCTGGTCTGATGAATCATGTTTTCTTTTACACCATGTGGATGGCTGGGTGAGCACATGTCGCTTACATGGGGAAGAAATGACACCAGGATGCACTATGGGATGAAAGCAAGCTGGTAGAGGAACTGTGATTCTTTGGGCAATGTTCTGCTGAGAAACCTTGGGTCCTGTGTCATTTATGCAGATGCTACTTTGGAGTCCAAGGCTATTATGGTGGCGAAAGGGGGACCTACTTGGTACTAGGTGGATGGTCATAATGCTATGGCTGATCAACGTATAGTCCTTAGAAATTGCAAGTAAACAACAGAGAAGCTGCAACATATGCAGGGAATCGAGGAGGGTGTGGAAAGAGATGACCAACAGACAGGCAGAACTCACAACATTTAAGGAGATTTTTCAAGTAAGCTTATGTTGGCTTGTCAAAAATTAATTGTATTGCTATTACAATACTGATGATTCTTTCTTAGATACACAGAATATAACTGGATACTAACATTTATTAGGTAAAGTTGATCCAGGGAATATCCGATTGCCTCTCGGGGGGATCAGGAAGGAATTTTTTTTCCCTGCAGGAACAAATTGGATCATGCTTTGCTGGGGTTTTTTTTACCTTCCTTTGGATCAACTGTGGGTATAGGATTATAACTTATTTTTTTTTTAATGGTTGAACTGGATGGACTTTTGTCTTTTTTCAGCCAGACTAACTATGTAACTATGTTAAAAAAAAAGTGCTGATGTTAATTAATGTGTATGCTGTGGCCACAGATTACCTTTAACCACTGCACTTCATATCCTTTGCAAACATGAGTCAGACGTAAAACACATACGTTTACAGTAACCCATAGCCAGAAACATAAACAATGATATTACGACTGAAATACACACCTACCTTTTTTTCCTTTGGTCACAGTTTTTCCAGAACAGAGCAGGATTTCTTTTCAAGGAGAGCACAGCCACCTACAACATGTCCATTTTACAGCAGAAAAGAACCCTAAAGCTCCACAGATAAAGATGTATATAGTGTGAAAATAGTTGTGGACTTGTCACTGCACATTTTGTGTTTTTGCTTATAAATAAAAAAAGGTAAAGCAGAATGAAAATATAATAAAAAGTTTTGTTTAAAAAAAGTAATTTGAGGTAGATTGTTTTATTTTTTTCCTTTGTCTCTTATTAGTATTTACTAAACTGAACTTTCATCCAACTTTTCAACCAACTGCGTATGTTTCCTTTTCTCCAAGATCTTGCTTAGTTCCTCTGTGAATGAGTTGTACAAAGGAGAACTTGCCTCCTCACTCTGTCTTAAAAGCATGTAACTGTTACCATTCATTTTCCTCAGCATGTTAGGCAGGGTACTGATCCCATTGGTAAACTCTGATGGTAAAGGAGGTGGTGGTGGTGGTGGTGGAGGATTTGTTTTGGTGGGAGATGTAGTTGGTGCCTCTCCAGGAATTATCTGAAGGCATCCATCAGAATAATTATGTTCCTCAGACTTGTCTTTGAAGTTTGAAGATACCGTCTGAAGTTCTACACTGGTTATCCGAGAATTGCTCATTGCATATTTGCCCTTTCTTTTTTGCTGGCAAGAAACATACAATAGAACTATTGAAAGGACTAAGCACAGTCCACCCAAAATTGTGATGACAGAAATGTAGACAAATTCCAGCTTAGAAGAAGATTGAGGTGCTGGTGTTGGCAACTGGATAATGGGAGTAGTATCAGATGGCTTTGGCAGCTTTAGAAGAACATTGACGTTATATGAAGCAACTATAGATTGCAAGCCTTTTTCCTCAGAAAAACAGTCATATTCACCGCTGTGTTCCAAAAGAGCATCTGTGATGAGGAGTCCATCAACTCCCACTCGAAGGTGACCATCATCATCTTCCAGTGGGTCGGTGCCATTCACTAGCCAAAGAGGCTTAGCTAGGTTTGACCAAAGGTCACACTGCAGGAGGACGTCATCTCCCTTCAAAACAGTTCTCACTTTCTTCACTGGAACAGCTAAAAAGAAAGGTATGTTAGTAAATTTATTATTGAGGACTCAGCCTGCCTGTTGCTCAAGAATAGAAAACCACAAAATGTCATGAGGTATTAGGAGACTTCACATGCAAAAGAATCGATGAAGGGTCTAAAGCGGCTACATATATTTATTGCTCAATGAAGCACAAATACTGTCTTTTCATTCTCTCCTATACTTAACCTTCCATCTCCTCATTCTAATATTGATGTATCTGTTATGATGCAGAAAATCTCAGATCTCAATCTGACAAAGTCTAGCAATGAATAAAATGAGTAACCCATTACTAATAAATAAAAAATGCTCTTGCCAATTATAAAACAAACAAAATGATGTTGTATGCTGCCCACACACCCAGGAAAAGGATGCAAGAGTTGTGGAATCTTTGTTTATTAGTGTTGTTACCTATCTAGAGAAGACAAGGAGAGGATTTCTAGGTCCTATTGGAGGCCTCTGCATTCTAGTCCCAGGACACGAAGCTTCACCCACTGTCATTTAGTTATCAAATTTGACTTGAGACATATATTCTGCCATCTGATTTGGCCAGAAGCCAAAGCCTAGTGTTTAGCCTAGGTGAGGAATACAGAGGGTCTCCATACAGTGGCATATCATCCATTGGTGCAAGGTGTGCACTGGACACGGGCCCCAAGGGGTTGGAGTCCACTGTGCTCTGACCCATTCTGTACCCATGGATGATACATAACTGAGGCGCTGTAGACACACCTGTCACTTCCCTCACTCTGATGCCTGTCACAAGATCTGCGTGACTCATTTCTCACAAGCAGATCCTGTTACTGGAGCGGAGAGGGGTGTGACAGGCATGGCTGTCTGGGTGTAGGTACTGCTTCTCTGCAAGGTGGGCAGGTGGGTATGTCATCCACTGGAGCCCAGCAGAAAGAAATCTACAATGCCTGTGAGAGATGTGCCTGAGCCTGTTGAGGTGTGTGTTTGGGGGGGCGCAGGGACTGTACAGAATTCAGATGATTTGGAGGGTGGTGGGAAGCCTGTGAAGCCCGAGCGGGGAAGGAGAATAAGAAGCCTGAAGATGGGGTGGGTGGGGGGTTCTGTGAAGCCTGAGGGGGGGGAGGCTGTGAAACCCAAGGATGGGGGGCTGTGAAGCCAGAGGAGGGGGGGCTGTGAAGCCAGAGGATGGGGGGGGGCTGTGAAGCCAGAGGATGGGGTGGGATGGGAGCTGCATCTCTATCTGTTCAACAGAAGCCATTCTAATGACTGGTTTCTGTCAAATGGTCATGCTGGAAAACCAGCATTCGATCAGCATTACCAGGCAATGGTTGCAGCGCTGATCTGTGTATTCAGGTGGGGTGTTCCTGTTGTCAGAATACATAAGTGCAGTGGGGGTGATGTGTGGATGCGGGGATCTGACAGGTTTTTTTTTTTTTGTTCAACCCACTGGTTGAAAAAAAAAAAACCTGTTCATGTATAGCTGCTTTTAAGGTATGCTCCAGTCCATCTTAAAAGTTAGTATTTCAGTGAAGGTATTTAACCTATCTTCTTGGAGGACATACAACGGAAACCAACTCCGCTATCTTCCATCTACTGCTGCCTGTTACATTCACACAGCATCCCTGTCACTGTTCACACAGCATCCCTGTCACTGTTCACACAGCATCCCTGTCACTGTTCACACAGCATCCCTGTCACTGTTCACACAGCATCCCTGTCACTGTTCACACAGCATCCCTGTCACTGTTCACACAGCATCCCTGTCACTGTTCACACAGCATCCCTGTCACTGTTCACACAGCATCCCTGTCTGCCTTTCCATCACAACACCAATATTTACTATGAATGCTATACTCTCCCAAAAGAAGCAACATTCAGTGTTCACCAATATCACATCTCACCTGACCCACAGCTCCCTTCTAACACCTCCTGTTCAGCCCTCTTCAAGAGCACCATCTCTCTCCTGTCCAGGTTCTTTGCATCCACCTCAGTCTCAATCCTCTCTTGTTGTGCTCCACTGGTACACTGCTCTCATAGTCTGACTTGTCTACCTCCTGGCATCTCTGTTACCCATTGACGGCCACATACTACACTCAAATCCCACTCTACTCCAGCTCCCCAGTCCCTTCACATTTCACATTCTGTTGTTACCAGCTTCTATTTCAGCTCTACAGCAGCACCATCTTTCTCCTACCCAGCTTTTTGGCATCCACTGCAGTTTCAATCCACCTCCTCATTTTCCTTCACTGGTACACTGCTCTTATGGTAATGAACTTGTCTACCTATTGGACAGCATCACATCATTGTCAGTCTGGGAAGGGGGGGGGGTTTAGATGTACTAGCAGATTTAAATACACTTACAAATTGAAGTCAAACTCCAGCTGACACTTTATAAGCAGTTACAGCAAAATGTTTTGTTCATTTTGAGATAAAGGTTTTACATAAATAAATACAAGCTGACCATTGTATTATAAGGACCACTGTCACTGGTAAATGGTTTGTCTTAACCTTCTAACTACTATACCTGCAGGACAGCTTGTTCTGTTGAAAAACAACAGTCCTACTAGCTGGATAACCAGGTGAAAAAAAAGAAAAAAAAAAAAAAACGAAATAAGTAAACTAATGTAGGAATCACATCTATGAATTGGCAAGCTGCAGTATAAGGGCTCATTCAGAGGGGCGATTATTCCTGCAGATACTGTGCATTCGGATCTGTGCACCCTCAGATTTTGACATGCAATTGCGTCCATGCAACTGCTGTGTGTGCATCCACTTCTATGGGCTACCTGCATGCAGCTTTGAGGTGGATGCACACGCATCTGACAGTGGTTCTGCATGGAGGATGGGATTAATCGCCCTTCTGAATGAGCCCTAATAAATGTTTACTTTTGTGTTTAATACCGCTTTAACTTCCCTGGTGCTCCCATAAGCTAACCTAATTTTCATCCATCTATGGCTGTTCCCACTCAAATGGGAATGTTTGAAATTTTTCATTTGATCAGCACTGCAGCCAATCAGCCCACCCCCTGGCTGATAAAAGAAAAAATGATCCATCTATGGCCAGCCTTAGTTTGCTTCCTTCTTGCTCATTGCTGAAGGATTGAGGTCTATAAGCATGTGTAGAGGGATGACAGAAGATCTTTGTTATTTTTATGCCTGTGTTTGGGGACATCTATAGATTGCTGTATTAGCCATCAAGCAAAGAATTATAAAAGGAGAGAAACTTAACAATCTCAGTTAAGCAATCAGGAGAGAGCAGTAACAATGTGAAAGCATATATTTACAAAATTGGATGCTTTTCCAAGATATACACTGTTCAAAAAAATTAAAGGAACACTTTGAAAACACATCAGATCTCAACAGGGAAAAATATCATGCTGGATATCTATACTGATATGGACTGGGTAATGTGTTAGGAATGTAAGGATGTCCCATTGTTTGATGGAAATGAAAATTATCCATCTACGGAGGACTGAATTCAAAGACACCCCAAAAATCAAAGTGAAAAAATTATGTAACAGACTAGTCCATTTTGCTGAAATTTCATTGCAGCAACTCAAAATGGTACTCATTAGTTTGTAAGGCCCCCACGTGCTTGTATGCATGCCTGAGAAAAGGCCAGGGCATGCTCCTAATGAGATGACGGATGGTGTCCTGGGGTATTTCCTCCCAATGGCAGTCAGGGTGCCATTGTCTAGCCTGTAGAGGTCTGTGAGTCCCTCCATGGATATGCCCCCCCAGACCATCACTGACTCCCCACCAAAATGGTAATGCTAAACAATGTTACAGGCAGCATAACGTTCTCCAGGCACTTTCATGACTGTCACATGTGCTCAGGGTGAACCTGCTCTCATCTGTGAAAAGCACAGGGAGCCAGTGGCAGACTTGCCAATTCTGATGTTCAATGGCAAATGCCAATCAAGCTCTTTGGTGCCAGGCAGTGAGCACAGGGCCCACTAGAGGATGTTGGACCCTCAGGCCAACCTCATGAAGTGTGTTTCTGATTGTTTGGTCAGAGACATTCACACCAGTGGCCTGCTGGAGGTCATTTTGTAGAGCTCTGGCAGAGCTCATGTCATTTCTCCTTGCACAAAGGAGCAAATACCGGTCCTGCTGATGAGTTAAGGACCTTCTACGGCCCTGTCCAGCTCTCCTAGAGTACCTGCCTGTGTCCTGGAATCTCCTCCATACTCTTGAGACTGTGCTGGGAGACACAGCAAACCTTCTGGCAATGGCGCATATTGAAATGCAATCCTGGAGGAGTTGGACTGCCTGTGCAACCTCTGGAGGGTCCAGGTATCACCTTATGCTACCAGCAGTGACAATGACCCTAGTCAAATGCAAAACTAATGAAAAACAGCCTGAAAAGATGAGTATGGGAAAATGTCAGTGGCCTCCACCTGTAAAACCATTCCTGTTTTGAGGGTAGTCTAATTGTTGGCCATCTAGTGCACCTGTTGTTAATTTCATTACCACCAAAGCAGCTGAAACTGAATAACAACCCCCTCTGCTACTTAACTGACCAGATCAATATCCCAGGAGTTTAATTGGCTTGATGGTATACTCTGATTAAAAAGTGTTCCTTTCATTTTTTTGAGCAGTGTATTAAATGGGTAATGTGCTATTTCAAGAAAACATAGCAATGCAATATTTCCATTGATTGTACCCACCGCGTGATTATGTCTCAGCAGTCAGGTGGCAGTTACAGGTATGACAAGAAAAAGGTACACGTAAACCTTACTAGGGAACTACAGAGAAGGTTGTCCAGGTGGGATCCAATTACAGATTGAGTTCATAAAGTGGATGTACTCTTTATAGCAGGGGTATTGAATTTAAATACAAGGAGGTCCGGTCACTAGAATTTTCTTCTGACCGAAGTCCGAATAGGGTGTGTCCATCAGCGTGACCCCTTACATTAGGTGTCACCATCAGAGTGCAACTTCACATCACGTATTCCTAGCACATCAAGTGTGCCCATCAAAGTGCTCCTTTACATCAGTTGTCCCCATCAGAGTGCCCCTTTGTGTCCCCTTAACATAACATGTGCCCCTCAGAGTGCCCCTCAACATAAATAAGGGGCATGCTGATGGGCACGTTATGAAAAGGGGCACTCTTATGGGCACGTTATGAAAAGGGGCACTCTTATGGGCACGTTTATGTAAAAGGGCACTCTTGTGGGCACATTTATATTAAGGGGCACTCTGGTGGGCACATTTATATTAAGGGGCACTCTGGTGGGCACATTTATATTAAGGGGCACTCTGGTGGGCACATTTATATTAAGGGGCACTCTGGTGGGCACATTTATATTAAGGGGCACTCTGGTGGGCACATTTATATTAAGGGGCACTCTGGTGGGCACATTTATATTAAGGGGCACTCTGGTGGGCACATTTATATTAAGGGGCACTCTGGTGGGCACATTTATATTAAGGGGCACTCTGGTGGGCACATTTATATTAAGGGGCACTCTGGTGGGCACATTTATATTAAGGGGCACTCTGGTGGGCACATTTATATTAAGGGGCACTCTGGTGGGCACATTTATATTAAGGGGCACTCTGGTGGGCACATTTATATTAAGGGGCACTCTGGTGGGCACATTTATATTAAGGGGCACTCTGGTGGGCACATTTATATTAAGGGGCACTCTGGTGGGCACATTTATATTAAGGGGCACTCTGGTGGGCACATTTATATTAAGGGGCACTCTGGTGGGCACATTTATATTAAGGGGCACTCTGGTGGGCACATTTATATTAAGGGGCACTCTGGTGGGCACATTTATATTAAGGGGCACTCTGGTGGCCACATTTATATTAAGGGGCACTCTGGTGGCCACATTTATATTAAGGGGCACTCTGGTGGGCACATTTATATTAAGGGGCACTCTGGTGGCCACATTTATATTAAGGGGCACTCTGGTGGCCACATTTATATTAAGGGGCACTCTGGTGGCCACATTTATATTAAGGGGCACTCTGGTGGGCACATTTATATTAAGGGGCACTCTGGTGGGCACATTTATATTAAGGGGCACTCTGGTGGGCACATTTATATTAAGGGGCACTCTGGTGGCCACATTTATATTAAGGGGCACTCTGGTGGGCACATTTATATTAAGGGGCACTCTGGTGGGCACATTCTATGTTGTGCCCATCAGAGTGCACCTTAACATTAAATGTGCCCCTGTAAGACTACAGCCTACCTTGAGGGCAGACAGGAGCCATGCCGGGATCCTTGCTGAAGGATGCTTGTGTAACAGACAGGGAGCGGGAGCAGGAGAGACAGTGAGCTGCAAGGGGCAGGGCGCACATGTGATGTCATGTTGCCGTGACGATCGACCTGCTCAGCAGATCTGTCATTGCGGGCTGGTGGTCCAGAAGGGAGCACTGCTGGGGCCATTCTTGGACCACCGTCTGCCATTTAGTGACCGCTGCTTTATGGTATATCTAGACCCAAATTGTTTGGTTCGCATAGGAAATGATTAAAACACCTGGCAGTGTTTTTGTCTGAGAGATTTAACTACACTTCCTATCCCAGGGACACAACAGGAAGGGAGAAAATCAAAAACATGGTGAAATCCTTCTGAGACAGTTGTCATCAAAACCGTTATCCTATGTGGAACATTTACTTGCATACACACACTGCATGTTCTAATGACAACTGTAAAATTCTGCACTCCCTATTATGCTTTAGATAAACTGACACTTTTTTTTTTTTTTTTTTACGCAAAAGAAAATGTTTTCCTTCAGTTTCCTCCTACTATATTACAAAATTACTTTCTCACTACATGTATGCTCATAAAGTACCACTTTCTTACTAGCATGCAGGGCTGATGTTGTAAAATAAACAGAGCATTTACCCTGGTCTGTGTTGTTTAAACATCCTCCGTTACCATTCTGCATATCCTGCGTCATCCGTACCCTGCAAGCAGCCAAAAACAACAATTCATGCTGTAAAGTGTGATGACAATCACAGGCCGCAACAAAATCAGAATTTAAACTGTACTAACAAAACAGAAAGCAATATATGACTCTTAGGAAGGCCTGAACAATTTTCAACAGGAAAGAAAAAGTATTAAAATGTCTCTTTGATAAATAATGGAGTCCTGCAGTTACATCTGACATACCACTTTGATTAGTTAAGCAGTTGTTTTGCTAATTGGATATTACATTATCAATTTCCACCAAATTAAAAAAAAAAAACAAACAATAGTAGTTAGAGGGAAACTTTAGCTATATTTTTATAAGTTCATATATTTTTAAACGGTTGCCTTATATCTGTTTATACAATATACACATAATATTTTGCAAATCAATATTGATTTGTAATAATGATGACATAGCAATTGCAGAGCACTCTGAAAGTAGAGAGCATCTGTTGTACTGTTCTTTTGGCTAAACCAATGTGGATTCACACATGTGAGGTGGGAACTAAAGCTCAGCTTTTACAGCTAATTGACAAAATAGTTGTAAACCTGTCCTGATCTAAACCTGACCTGAAATGCTGAACATCAGGATCAGGTCAGGAGTTTATACTGTTCACAACTGAATGCCATGTGCAATTCAGAAGCGTTCCCACAGAAGTCAGTGGGCCTGAATTCACACCTTAGCCAGACCACACTACTAAGAAAACTGACATGACTCTTTTTCAATTGGCACTGAATCTACACTCCAGGAGCAGCGGACATATGTGAACAGGCACAATATAAAGCAATGTTCTTTCACATGTCATGCGAATTGGATGTGGTTCAAAATGCATCCACTTTGCATATATGTGAACTGGCTTTGAGGCACAGTTTGTCTGACTGAAAGTTAAGATAAAGAATAAGTCACTCCCGACTTTTTCCCTTAATAAAATATGGTAACATATATGGTGGTAACAAACTCTCAAAACATTCACAAAGTAAAATAAGTTTATGCATGACTTTTTTCCATGTACTCTATAGAGGCGTATACAGGAGAGTATAAAGTTTGTCATAGAAATGTGAGGGCGATTATATGGCTTCCTTAACATGTATGTTTAAATGTAGTTATGTGAATTGTACCTGCAGAATTCCTGACTGCAGAAGGACAGCAACAAAAAAAAGGTGTTTATAGCTATCAGGTTGGACCTTCCCTTCCAAGTGCTTAGCTGGTGGGTGTCCAACATTGTCTATGACACTTGGCCAAATAAGATGATGGTTATTGCATGCCTATGGCTGGTATTAGAGCTATGTGCCTGTATTCCTTTTGTCAAGATTTGGAATGTGCTGAAGGTTAAGCAAAGTTGAAATGTTTTCAATGAGTAGTGGTGGCTTGATTTCCCTTTGATATTTGAAATTAAACCTGTGAGAATGGCAATGAGAAAGTTGCCAATGGCTTATTTTTAGAGGTCCAGTACTGTGATCTTGGTGAATCGCTTAACTGGAACAAGCATGCAAGATCAGAGGTTTTAGACTTCACTTGCAACATTCTTATTGCAGGTCGGTGTAACACAAGGCAACAAACTCCCATAATTTGTCCTTACTGGTTTCCCATTTACTACCAAAAACTTGTAAATCTGCCCTCTTTTTTTGAGTTCCTTTCATTTAAAGAAACACATCTGTCACTGTTACATTGCAGTCACACAATGCACAGTGCAATATTGTGATTCCCAACAGAAATCATGGTCGCACTTCAGTATTAGATTTCAACAGAAGCTGGTGCAGCAACTGATTTTTGATTGCCTGATTTATTCAAGTCCCCTTTACACTTTTTAGGTCATCCAGATATTTGGCATTCATTTGTGTTGTCTAACAATGGGGAGGGAGATTTACTAAAACTGGTGCACTCAGAATCTGGTGAAGCTGTGCATGGTAGCCAATCAGCATTACAAACAGCTTCTTCAATTACGCTATGGCAATATTACCTAGGCGCCGATTGGCTTCTATGTAGAGTTGCATCAGATTTTGCATTCTCTAGTTTTAGTAAATAACCCCCAATACGTTGACAACGCTGAATTTGAAACATTATGGGATAATGATTAAAAGGAGCAAACTGACCTACTACCCATTTAATTACCCTCTAGCTGTTGTTTTTTTTATGTAGAATGTAGAAATAAAGGACAGTCCCTATTCAGGCTTTACATTGGCAGGACTAGAAGGCACAGATATGAGAACTCAAGTGAGTTGATCTTGCCAGTGGAACCATCTGAATGACTGCCATGTACTTCTCAAAATTGAGATATAGGGCTTTTCTGATATGAATGCATTAGGGGCAACCTGTATTGACAGAAATGCAGATGTTGCTATTGTTAAAGTAGACCTGTAGCCAGGCAAGGAATACTCAAATATTTACATATTCCTAACAAGCAGAACATGTACTTTAAAACATATGTTCATGGATTGCTATAGTTGCAGGCACTGTGAGAAAATGCATCCTCAAAAATTAGGCTGGGTTCACACCATGAATGAACAGCACATTCCTGTGCGATTGACATGCAATCAGGGTGCAGTGCGATTTTAGCCCATTCATATGCTGAAATAGCACCAGAACACAGCAAAAGTAGTGCATGCACACAGGAACTGGATCTCATGGCACTGGTTGTGTGACCTGCGTTTGGGATTAAAGGATAAGTTCACCTTTTGTAACATGTTCCACCCATATTCAGGGTGTAACATGTTAAGATCTGACCGGCCGCATCACTCATTCACAGTATTCTGTGAATGGGAAAGGAAAGCTACAAGTTACGACAGCTTTTACGGCTGTCAACTTGTAGTTTTCAATGAACTACCATTCCATTCCACAGCGCCATGGCAGTTCAATGAGTCTTCTTGTCAGTAGGTATCTGCTTGCTCGTACATCACGTATGGGCAAGCAGATATTTACTGACAGGTCAGAGGGAGACCTGCATGGCACCAGCAATCTGCTGACCTCTGGAGCAATGCTTTAGAGCAGGGGTGGGCAACTGTGGCCCTCCAGCTGTTGTAGAACTACAAGTCCCATGAGGCATTGCAAAACTGACAGTTACAAGCATGACTCCCAAAGACAGAGGCATGATGGGACTTGTAGTCCACCAGCAGCTGGAGGGCCACAGTTGCCCACCCCTGCTTTAGAGGATGCTTTAGACGAAACAAAAAATAATAAATGCACATTTTTTTAGCTGCAAAAAAATGTACATTTATTATTTTTTGTTAGAAGGTGAACTTATCCTTTCAGTTAACATTGACATCCGCTGCAGATTGCAACTACAGTGCTTTTTAACACGGTGCAGAAATCATGCATGGAACACAGGTTTCCCACACCTCATTCTGGTATAACAGAAGCACTGAAATCCCAACTCATCTTGGCAGCCTGCCAACCTTCTAATATAAACAGCCTGTAAACTGTTCAGAAAGGGACTGCAACCTGACTACAGAGTCTCTGTTGCAATTGTTGAGGATGAATTACTCTATGGTACATGCAGTAACAAAGGTCAGTATGGGCTTGTATCAAAGCTCATTTACTGCTTGTTGAGGGTTGGTAAATACTAATGCCTATAGACTGGACACAGCTCTTTCTGAAAATGCTAACTGCCTGGCTCTCAAGCTGAACCAATAGATTGATAACTGCCAGTAATACTGATTCTAATCTGAAGTCCTAACTTCAGTTTGAGTTAAAGTGCATTCTATAGGTCACATTTTTTTTTTATTTTAGATTTAGATAGATTTGGCAATTGTTAAAACCAATGTAAATGTTTTTCTCATTTCTGTGTTCCTGGTCACCAGGATAAAGAAAATGAGTCTCCCCTGCGGGTACACAGTGTCCTGGTGCATTAACTGGTTTTCTGTTGTGAGTATTACTTACCTGTCCCGTGATGTTCGAGGTTCTCGACAGACTTTGCCATCCCACCCACAATATGGGTTCCTGGCGAGGATACAGTCATAGCATGAGCTGCTTCGGCTACATCCAGAAAGTGGTAACTGCAGGACTCCACTCTGTGCTCCAATATACAAACTATTCTGTAAGACAAAGACAAGACACAAGTTCTATTTATTACATAAATTTTATTTTTTAATTAGGAACTTGTTGGAACAAGACTTTCATTTGTGACCACCAGCTAATTAACTCTGCCAAATCATTTAATATCATTAGCAAGGCCCAGAATAGCTGGTAGTTTAGATTTCAAAGTGAGTTCAATAAGTTCACTACAAGATGATTAGAATGACATGAAGATACAAGCTGTCCCCTTTCCAAAACAGTCTTGGAACTTATGTAAACTGAAAGAACACAAGCAGTAAACAAGCCCTAAGAGAGGCTCTTAGAATTAACAATTTGGTAGCAAACCAGAACAATTCAGCAAGTTCAGCAAAATGGAGAGGACATGATGTGCATACAAAAAGTTGATATAATACGACTAAACTAGGAGGAATACATTAGAGTTGTCTTGGCAAGATGTGTCTTTCCAGTATGCAGGAGATGCACGCTCCCACCCCCATCACTACCAAGACGCCGTGAACTTTTCTTCCACTCTCATTTTCTCGAGCACCACAAACAACCCTCTTCACTGGCTTTTTGAAATGGACTAAAGAGAGCAGAACTTAGACAGGTGAATGCTCCAAATGTTCATAAAAATAACAACTGAATTTGTGAATAGTGGTTGTTTTCAAATGCTCTGAGTTTTCATGGTATATCAGAACAAAAACAGTGCCAATTGGGCATACCCTGGCTAAAATATCCACATTGTAAAAAAACTGAAAAAAATATAAAAACAATAGCAATAACATTGTCATACATAATAGAGTAGATATACTCAAGTTCAGCAAATATAGGAGAAATAAAGGAGTATGTAGAAAAAGAACCAGGTTAATATATATCAGAAGGTTCAAGAGATACCTGCAAATATAGTCGTGACCCTACAAAAGCAAGCTAAGGGCAAAACATTCAGCTAAAAAAAAACCCTTGCCTGGCTCCAGTAAAGAAAGGGTAAGTATTAAGCAAGAACCTCAAAGTACACACTGGTAGGTACGGATTCAAGTCAGTGATCTCAAACTTTATGAATTTTTTTCAGGGCAACCTCTAGAGAGGTAGGTGGCCTTATAAGGTGGAAGAAACCAAATTGACCAGAGATTCCCAGAAATCTAAGGTAGGGCAATAGGGGACTTCAATCTCAACAAAATTGCTTTCCTGGCATAACACAAAAAACCCAAAAGAGTTCTAGATGCTCTTGTAAAGGGCAAAAGGTCGACCAACCCTAGCAGACAAACATCCACAAACAGAAGATTTATGCTGTTTTTAAAGTAATATATAGTGTATTGGATTTTTTTTAATTGAACAAAATGTCTTAAATTTTAGCAAAAAAGAAAACAATGTCAACAGTCTCTGCAAAGTGTCACTGAAACACCCAGTAACCCCAAAACTTTGCTGTCTATCTTAGATTACCCTTGCACTAGATACAATAACCAGAAAACTAAACTCCAATAATAAAGACAATGCATCTTGAATACCCTGAACTGCCATAAGCCGCAATCTTATGTATAAAAGCTGCTGTTAACTGCTTATGTCGACTATGAGAGCCAGAATACTGTGTTGAAATTGAAGAAAAATAAAAGGCGAGGACTGTTTGCTATAGATTAGTAACATATATACAGTATTATATATGATTGCTGTATATTAAAATCAGAATTATGTTGCACTGCAGTATCTACCACTATGTTACTGGAGACTAAACAGAACTAAACAGCATAGTAAAAGAAAAATTCTGCTTCCCAAATAACATCCAGGGACAGCAGCTAAAGCTTAGCAGACAGACGTCTAGTAATATGCAATTCCATGTAAATCAAGATCAAATCCTGACATAATAATGTAAGTGGGAAAAATAAGTCTTTCATTCTTCCTGGAATTCCAAACATACTCTGGCTGAATGGAGCCAAATAATAAATAATATATTCCCTGTTGGAACATCTCACATTTGCACTTTGATGTAAAAAAAAAAAGCATTTATCATAATGTGCAAAAGAAGGGACAAGATTGTGGATAAAGGCAACCATTAGAAATGGCATCAACACATATCACACATATGCCCAATTTTTTCCCAAATTAGAAAGCTGGACAAAATACTAGATTTCAGTTCCACTTTAAAAAGACAAAAACAAAACAAAAAAAAACAAAAACAAATTGTGTTTGCAAAGTAGTTTCTTTTAGTGGCTTACTAAAAATAACTTAATTTACAAAAGTTTGGAGCACAAAGGTCTATTGCTGTGTTAAATGCTTTTACAACTCCAACTGCTCTAAAGTGCTTAAATGTATATTGGATTGGCTAAGCATAATCACACTTTGAGTTGCTTTTTATTAAAAAAAAGTAAATAAGCATGCAAATATCAAACGTTTTTCTTGCTCATTCTTAAAAATTATATAAAAATGACAGTTCTCAGGACTTTACGTGCTCTTTAATTGTAACTTTATTATCAGCAACAGATTGGGTGAGGTTATTTTGCACTGTGATTGGAATCCTACCTGTTGATTAGGAAAGAATGTTGAATATAAAGCCAGAAAAGCTAGGTATTGTAGAGATAACACTGGAATTTCTGTCAAACTAATATTTGACATAGATTATCGTGACAATTGTAATGGACAATGCTATCAAATTTGAAAATATTTGCTTTTCTTGTCATTTTTATTTGAATTTGTGGGTATGGAAGAAGATTGTGACTTGTACCCCTGTGATGGTGCCCAGACCCAGCAACCAACTGCTATACCTAAGCACTGTCACATGACCTGTGGATTGACTTCATGGATCCTCCAGAGCCTGTACCTTTGCCCTGCATAAGCAAGGTGACAGTGTCTCTAACACTACTGCTCTTTCCTTTAGTATCAAATGGCACAGTAGTTTAGATCTTTAAGTTTCTGAAGGTGAAAGAGCTGCTAGTATGCAAATCAGTAGATCTTTAGGACCCCAGAATATGTTGTATATGCTGCCTTACGTACACTGGCATTCATTAGGAGGTCTGGTGCATCTGGAGTCATCACCACCAAATCATCATGGCTAACACAAAGCAAAGAACATAGCCAATTAATTAATGAAAACAAAGCTTTATTATTTGTTCCCGATTTGTACCCATTACGACATGCTGTACATAGGTCCTATTTTTTTCATATTTCAATTTGTTATTATTGTCTTTTCGGGACCCCATAAGCATCAAATGGTTCTGAAAAGATTGCTGTAGTGCATTTGAGTTTTCATATGTGCTCAGTATATCTGTAAATAGTGCTTAACAAAGTTAAAATGTCACCATAAGCATGAGCTACCATCAAGGATCAGGGCAACAATCTACGAACTGGGCAGCACCCTGACCAACACACATTGCTGATTGTCTGTTCTTGGGATAACTAGCAATTGGTTTTTCATCTGGCCAATACTTTAAGAATCAGCCAGCATGAGCAGCAAAGCCATCCACAATCAAATGTCCATTTTTAGCTCTAGGTTGGCTATACAGACCTAAAAAATATAAAGGATGCAACCGGTTTAAAGATCATTAATATATTAACAATAGTAACTAAGGACATGTAAGGGGTAACAACATAAATGAAAGTTTAAAAAAATATCAGAAATGCTCTTTATTCCCAATGCAGATATTTCAACACACTGTACAACCTGTGCTGCATTTGTTCCTTGGCTAAATTCAATAGAAAGATCATAGGAGCCTACTTGATTGAATGAGGACAAGTAGGTCATTTCCATCTACATAAACCCCACTAGCATGATATGGATCCCAATAATGACAGAAATAGATTCTAAGGAAAAACTGAATACAAAACCTGTAACCTTTAACAACATCTCACAAGGTATGTGACCTATACTGTTGATAAAACGTTTGAGTACCTTGGTACAAAGCTGGGTTATGTTGTAGGCACAAAGAAAGGCCTGATATGTGTCCTGCATCTATACTTTAGACTTCAGATTTGTTGTCATTATATTTGCATTGAAAACATATAATACAGACTGTACCTGTTTCTTGGAGATAACCAATGTCTCTACTGGCTGTGGCTTTTTGAAGATCTGGATCTCCTCTATGATATGAACTTGGGATTTGATAACTACTGCCTTATGAATCCAACCATTATCTGCATTAATCAAAACATGAGGAACATTAGACATTAGACACCTAACCAATAGATTATCAAACACTGACATTGGAGACAAAGGCAGCTCATAGATGATTCTGGTTGAGTGAAAAAAAAATGACTCAATTCACACAATCAACACTTTTAAGGTGGTTGAGGAAATCTTCTCTGCTTAGGCTTTGTATTCTGACAGCGGGGAGACTTCCCCCCTATAAAAGGTGGCGCTGATAACCAGTACAACCAGCCAAATTTCGATCTGTGTATGGCCAGCCTAAAGCTGGCTATATATTTATTAAATCTTGAATGCTTCAGCAGGGACCTCCAGAATTTAATTTGGTGTGTGGCCGCCTCTCCTTTACAGAAGTCGATCATTTGACTTCTGCTGAAGGATATGCTGGGGAGATTCCTCCATCCACCTCGTTTGTGTGAATGGAGGAATCTGTTGATTGACAGCATATGGCCAGCTTTAGACTTGCCATGTTATCTGCATCCACCGCATCTACAAACTCAGACACCTGTTTGCATGCAATGTGTATGTACTCCCAAAATGTATCATTAGACTTGCTCTCTTATATCAACAAAAGCCATTTATAAAAACCACTCAGGGTATTCTTTTAAAACAGTTCAGACAGCCTACTACCCTATCCTGCAATACGTTATTGATAGTTAAAAATAAAGACCAAAATTACAAATCCAACCCAAAATCCACACAGTTTCAAAGCTCCCATCCGCAAAGAAACAGTTTTATTACCTGTGCCAAGAAAAAGGACATCGTATTGTTCCTTATCCAGAGCTGTGACTCTGTCTGCTGCAATCTGGGTATAAATGATGTTCTTCTTCATGAGAACTGGTTGCTTGTCAATAGACTTTACGGCCTCAGCCATGAGAGGATGGAGTTTCACAAAATCCAGGACATTATTGGGGATATCCTGAGAAGTGGTGTAATTGCTGTTTCGCAGTTCATTTGTAATGCACTGTGTGAAAGAAAAGGAGAAAAGGTAGTGGTAGAATTATTAATGTGTGAATTCTCTAGATAATTTCTGCTGATGCTTAAATTTGTTCACACCATTTTTGTTACTTTAAGTTAACTGAACAGTCAATTTGGATAAAACAAGAAGACATAAAGAAGACTCCTCTAAACTGTAATGTCTTCAAGGTCTTGAAACACTTCCTTATGAAGACATAAAGGTGTGTGAGGCTGAAGGGAATCAGTGACACAGTCCTAATCTCCTCTCCCGGCATTGGCAGTGACACAAAAACATGGAAGTGCTGGGCCAGAAGGTAAGTGAACATGAGGCTCCTGTTACTTATTCTCCACACATGGCATCCTGAACAAAAAAACTAGCAGCAAGACTGGCAACACAGGACACCAGTCTCATTGCTGGAGGTGAACTGGCAGGAGGGGGTGCGACTCTAGCAGCAGTCCTGTGTCTATGCAGTCATCCTGGTCATTAGCATTACATATTCTATATGTCATTGGCTACCTAAAATAGGTGCAGCAATGATGTACAGTACAAATTCTTTGGCAGACAATTTGGCTGTTTTTGTTGCTAACTTGTGAATTTTGTAGAAAAAAGGGTGCACTGTGTTTATTACAAATTTCTAATTTCCTCTGCATAGTTTTGGGCTGGCCAGACCTCCTTGTTATCAGACCATAAACAACATGACAATGAAGTATTTGTTCTCCTCCAATTAGGGTAGGAGTTATGGTTTTGAATTGAAAGGCTAGATAAGCCCTATGCAGATTTTGTATTACATTTCCCTTCAAGATTCACTAATCATAATTTTAGGTATACACTGGTAACCCTTTAACAGTTTCTCCACTACATATCCCACTATATATTTTCAAATCATCTGCAATCCAGGGATAATTGGAGGAAAAAAACAGGAACCACAAAAAGAAAATAAAGAGGATTGTAAAATTTTCCTAAATTTGGGATTCCCAGAGATATGTGTCACATGACATGCTCTTATATGGTCTTCCTTAGCGGATTAGTGCGCTAACAATCAAGAGTCAGCCAGTCGCCATACACTATATTGCCAAAAGTATTGGGACGCCTGCCTTTACACGCACATGAACTTTAATGGTCTCCCAGTCTTAGTCCATAGGGTTCAATGTTCAGATGGCCCACCCTTTGCAGCTATAACAGCTTCAACTCTTCTGGGAAGGCTGTCCACAAGGTTTAGGGGTGTGTCTATGGGAATGTTTGACCATTTTTCCAGAAGCGCATTTGTGAGGTCAGCCACTGATGTCGGACAAGAAGGCCTGGCTCATAATCTCCACTCTAATTCATCCTAAAGGTGTTATGTCAGGTTGAGGTCAGGCCAGTCAAGTTCATCCATGTCTTTATGGACCTTGCTTTGTGCATTGGTGTGCAATTATGTTGGAGCAGGAAGGGGCCATCCCCAAACTGTTCCCACAAAGTTGGGAGCATGAAATTGTCCACAATGTCTTGGTATGCTGATACCTTAAGAGTTCCCTTCAGTGGAATGAAGAGGCCAAGACCAACTCTTGAAAAACAACGCCACACCATAATTCTCCCTCCACCAAACTTTACACTTGGCACAATGCAGTCAGGCAAGTACCGTTATCCTGGCAACCACCAAACCCAGACACATCCATCGGATTGCCAGACAGAAAAGCGTCGGATGCAGTGGTGTAAAGCACGCCACCACTGCTCTAGAGTCCAGTGGCGGCGTGTTCTACACCACTGCATCCGACACTTTACATTAAACTTGGTGATGTAAGACTTGGATGCAGCTGCGTGGCCATTGAAAACCATTCCATGAAGCTATCTACACACTGTTGTGCTAATCTGAAAGCCACATGAAATTTAGAGGTTTTTAGCTATTGACTCTGCAGACAGTTGGTGACTTCTGTGCACTGTGTGCTTCAAAATGCGCTGACCCCACTTTGTCACTTTACGTGGCTTACCACTTTGTGGCCGAGTTGCTATTGTTTCCAGTTGCTTCCACTTTGTTATAATACCACTAACAGTTGACAGTGGAATATTTAGTAGCCAGGAAATTTCACGGATGGACTTATTGCACAGGTGGCAACTTATCACGATACCATGCTTGAATTCACTGAGCTCCTGAGAGTGACCCATTCTTTCACAAATGTTTGTAGAAGCAGTCTGCACGCCTAGGTGCATGATGTTAGACACCTGTGACCATGGAGGTGATTGAAACACTGGAATCCAATGATTTGGAGGGCTGGCCCAATACTTTTGGCAGTATAGTGTATCTGCCTGATGATCCATCCCTTCAGCAGAGACCACAAGGCATTGACTAGGTCCTGGACATGTGTACAGGCACTTACGAGGTGCAGACCTTAGCTTTCTTACAAAGAAAAGGTAAACTTTCCAAATGTGCTATTACAGGTTTGAATAAAGAAAGTTACTTAGATTTTTAGGTGGATTTTAGGTGCTGATAAAGTGATAGGTGCAGCCCAAAATTGGACGGGCTTTTCTTTGGTACCTGGCTTATTTTATACAACAACATGCCTTATTCACTAAAGTATCTTGTTGACTGAACATCGCAGGGTTTGACTCTTCAGACTCTAGAACTTAAGCTGGCCATACACTGAACAAATTTCGGCTGGTTTCTAATGAATTCGATCAGTGGGTGGCCCTGTCGGCACCACTCTGCCCAACATCCTTCAATTGGAAACTCAAAAGAGCTGGGTGGAAAATTCTCAACGTAACAGCACCTGCATCCAATCACTTCTAAGCCCAGCTTGAGTATTCTGACAGCTGGTCTCACTGGCTGTCAGATAACAGTAGCCACAGTGGGAGATTCATCCATATGTGCTGCTTGGCTTGAATGGAGAAAATCTGTTTGATTTTTTTCTGTTCAGCCCATAGGCTGAAAAAAAAAAAAATCTGTTGGTCTACGGACAGCTAAAGACCCATCCCCCTGGCATCCTCTTTCCAACTGTAACTAAAGAGGCCTTTATTAGATACAATGGATTAAAAAGTCTACACACCCCTGTTAAAATGTCAGGTTCTATGATGTAAAAAATGAGACAAAGATAAATAATTTCAGAACTTTTTCCTCCTTTCAACTCAATTGAAAAACAAACTGAAATCTTGAACTGAAATAATGTTGTTGCATAAGTGTGCACACTCTCTTATAAACTGGGGATGTAGCTGTGTTCAGAATTAAACAATCACATTCAAAAGCACATTAAATAGAAGTCAGTACACACCTGCCATCATTTAAAGTGTCTCTGATTAAGCCCAAATAAAGTTCAGCTGTTCTAGTAGGTCTTTCCTGACATTTTCTTAGTCGCATCCTACAGCAAAAGCCATGGTCCGCAGACAGCTTCCAAAGCATCAGAGGGATCTCAAAGTTAAAAGGTATCAGTCAGGAGAAGGGTACAAAAGAATTTCCAAGGTATTAGATATACCATGGAACTCAGTGAAGACAGTCATCATCAAGTGGAGAAAATATGGTGCAACAGTGACATTACCAAGAACTGGACGTCCCTCCAAAATTGATGAAAAGACGAGAATAAAAACTGGTCTGGGAGGCTGCTAAGAGGCCTAGAGCAACATTAAAGGAGCTGCAGTAATATCTAGAAAGTACTGGCTGTGTGGTACATGTCACAACAATTGCCCGTATTCTTCATATGTCTGGGCTATGGGGTAGAGTGACAAAACAGAAGCCTTTTGTTATGAAGAAAAACATCCAAGCCCAGCTAAATTTTGCAAAAACACATCTGAAGTCTCCCAAAAGCATGTGGGAAAAAATGTGTTATGGTCTGATGAATTCAAGGTTGAACTTTTTGGCCATAATTCCAAAAGATATGTTTGGCGCAAAAACAACACTGCACATCACGAAAAGAACACCATACCCACAGTGAAGCATGGTGGTGGCAGCATCATGCTTTGGGGCTGTTTTTCTTCAGCTGGAACTGGGGCCTTAGTCAAGGTAGAGGGAATTATGAACAGTTCCAAATACCAGTCAATATTGGCACAAAACCTTCAGGCTTCTGCTAGAAAGCTGAACATGAAGAGGAACTTCATCTTTCAGCATGACAACGACCCAAAGCATATATCCAAATCAACAAAGGAATGGCTTCACCAGAAGATTCAAGTTTTGACATGGCCCAGCCAGAGCCCAGACCTGAATCTGATCAAAATCTGTGGGGTGATCTTAAGAGGGCTCTTCACAGGAGATGCCCTCGCAATCTGACAGATTTGGAGCATTTTTGCAAGGAAGAGTGGGCAAATATTGCCAAGTCAAGATGTGCCATGCTGATAGATTCATACCCAAAAAGACTGAGTGCTGTAATAAGATCAAAACGTGCTTCAATACAGTATTCATTTAAGGGTGTGCTCACTTATGCAACCATATTATTATAGTTTTTAATTTTTACTTCCCTCCACCTAAAAGATTTCAGTTTGTTGTTCAACTGAGTTGTACAGTTTATAGGTTACATTAAAGGTGGAAAAATCATCTGAAATTATTTAATCTTTCTCTTTTTTTTTTACATCATAGAAACCTGACATTTTAACAGGGATGTGTAGACTTTTTATATCCATTGTAGGTGGGTGGCAGTATTCTATGACGAGACTGATCAGGATATGAAAGACAGCATTTGAAAATCCCTTTCTCTGCTATCTTCATCTTTGTTCATATTCAATTTGTTCATATGAAACGCTACATACTATACAAAAGTGACACATCTGTGTAAATTGTTCAAAACATAAAAAAAAGACATACATAAAGTCCATATCTCCATCTCTTTATATATCACTTATGTCTATTATATGTTTTGAACAATTTACACAGTTCAATGTCACAGATGTATATATATATATATATATATATATATATATATATATATTTTGTATTAAGAAGTGTATTTACACTTATAGTGGCAGCAACACATTTTTCTTCTTTTTAGAGGTTATTTCAATGGATTTTTTTGTGGATTGGGATAAGGTTTAGCAACTCTAAAATATTTCTTGCTTGAATGACTGCAGATATATTGTGCAAATTTTGCATGTGTTTATATACACACACTGTGACTGATACAGGGCTAAGAAGAAACACTTACAGAACCTGGTCTTGGCCTTGGTGGATCCCCTTGATATCTTGACCATTTCCGCAAAAGATCTTGATATTCCATGTAATCGCCCTCAAACACATCATGAATATCTGTTATGCTATACCGGCAGACTGCTGAGGCTTCCATGTTTCTCCTTGAAGAGAGAGAGACAATGTAATACAATTACTACATATCTGCAGCAGAGGTCATCGCATTTTTCTGAAACAATGGAACTATACACTGCTTAACACAAAAACATGGAATTACAGAACACGTATCAAGATACATGAGTTGGAGCTAATAACATAAATTATGGGCATTCATACAGCAGCAGTCGCAAATAACCTGCACTGATGAACAGCTGAGGCCCCTGTGATTTTCCAGGGCAAGCAATATACTGACATGGCTAGATAGCTCCACTAGTGGGCAACACATTTTCTGAGATGACTGAACACAGTTGCTGCAATGTGGATAAAGACAGATTACTACTGATGTGCGGAAAATGCAACAAGACAGATGGAATGAAGTGAAAATGAATATGAGAGCAATTTAAAACAAAACAGAGCCACAAAAATATATTAGATACATGGAGAAAGGAAAAGATCAGCAAAAGGAACATAAAGAACCCTCCATATGGCATACAGCCTTCCAGCAGATAAGACACCCTTTATTTAAGCAAATTTGTCCTTAAATGATAACTGTAAGCTATGTTTGCTGTCTGGCAGTACGGGATACATCAAAAGTCATAAAAGCAAATCATTTTTTTGGTACCAGAAACAAATAGAGCCACACTATCATACTGCAGCATTTTTATCTTGTACAATACTATATTTCAGGTCACGGTGCCCAAAATAGTGTGCCAAGACACATTTTAATTGAGATATACTTGTAACTAAATGTCTTTCTTCTTATTTTATAGACACAGATGCATTGCGCAGTTCTATCGCTGCAGGGGAGTGTAGAATGAGTGGTTTATCTCAGCAGCAACAGTAGGCTGGGAATGGGTTCGTGACCAAGTTGTATTACTAGAATGCAGAGATGAAAAGTGAGGGTCAAGAACTTGGCTACAATGTCTGGTAGGTGTATCTGGATCATAAAACTGGCTGTACAGGCAGGTAAGACAGTTTTACATGTTTGTATTTCAACTATACAATATAGCTGTTTGCCTGAAGTTCAGAAATGATCTGTTACCTGTCTGCCTAATTACACAAACCAATGCTAAATTAACTTATTTTTGTCTGTTGCCATAAATGTGTTTTCTATACCCCATTAAATTGCAATGGCATACACCAATTTATCCTGATTAAGGAGACAGAAGAAAACAAGCAAATTCTACTGAGTGATTTTTCCGTGCTGCATCTCTAATTCCTATTCTATACAGTTTATATTAGTGTGAGGCGGCTTGTTGCTGGATGCGAAGAGAAATGCCAAAAAGAATTACAATGGAAGGTTTGAAATTCTGCATTATTGTGTGACACTGCACGGGCCAACAGCTCCCTGACAGACGAGAAAATCATTCCTATTTTCTGCATAGCAGGGTACTATTAACTCGTTTGCTGCCATATTAGTCTGCTAGCACTGATTCTTAAAGAGAAATTTCAGTTATTTCAATGATTTCTTTTTAAAGCTGTACTACAAAACTCTACCTGCCATACAGACATGAGAGGGCAGTTGGAAAATCCTACAGTTGAATAATCATTATCTAACATGATAAAGCCCTGGCTGCTTAAATTCTTCAGATCAATAATTAATCCAGTAGTATCTGCAGTGGTCATTAGACTGTTATAGATTGAGGGGCCAACAATCTATATCTCTAATGTGAATAGTCTACGTTCTCTCTAAAACAGCTGCAGGAATTTTATTTACAAACATTTTATTGAAAGTATCACAAATAGCAATACAGTCAAAAATGAAAACTTTATCTGAAATACAGAAAGTAATCAACTGTAAAAAAGATCAAAAAGCAAATTCTGATGAAGCGTCTCACTAAACCATACAAAGAGTACATCCATCAAAACTGACGTAAATAATGGAGATATGGACAAGATATAGATGAGTCATCTGATAAATAGTATTAGTCATGAGTTGGAAATCAAGCAACTAAATGCTGAAAAATGAAAAGCGTTTAGAGTCCAAAATATCCCACTTATCAGAGAAACGAGGTAGGGAGTTGTGTAGAGAATGAAAAATAAGTTCCATTAACAATAAAGAATCAATGCGGTCCAGAATTAGAGAAAAGGGGATGTTGGCCAAATTTCCAATTAAGTGCAATTGACCACAAAGTGGCAATACAAAAAGGTATGTATCAATTTCTCCATATAATAAGGCACATTTGGAACTGGGGGAGGTGCAGGACTTTTAGTTGCTACACTATATGTCCGCCATGCACTGTGATGCTCTGCATTACAAAAATAGTGCATGCACCATTTCAAATTTCATTCAAATTAATGGGCTTCCTTTACCAAACACTTGTTATAGCCTTGCAACAGTGTGAATCTTACTTAGCAGTACACCTGACTAGAAATACCTAAGCTCAATCGTTTAGAAAGGCTCCCGTGTATAGTAGTGGTCTCCAAACTGTGGCCTTTTGCTTGCCTTTATCTGGCCCTTGAGGCATTATTCCTGCCACCGGAAACAACAATAAGGCATAAGTCCTGCCTCTGACACGAACATTGGGGCACTATTCCTCCCTCTAGCACCAACTATTTCTTGCACCAAAGATCGGGCATTGTTTACTCCCACTGGGCACAGCCGCACCCCTAAAGTCTGAAGGACAGTAAACTGGTCCTTTCTTTGGAAAGTTTGGAGACCCTTGATATATTGTATACCATTGAAAACAATTATTTTTCCTTTTCTACCCTATTCCCTTTGTGTATATTGGGAGCTACCATTTTTTTTTTTTTAAAGAAAGAGCAGAGGACCTTTCCAAACATGCACAGTGTAAAATAGCATAAGGATATTTAATATGGTTTTCACAAACAATCCTGACTTCTATTCTTTAGTCTAGGCTGGCCATAGATAAAACAGTTTTCCAAAGTTCATAGTACATCAAGTCGTACAATCCCCACAGCATAAATCCAGAACTGTATGACTCAGAAATGGTCCATGCATTGTCAGCAACATCCCAATAAATGAACACTACACTTGCAGCATACTCCTGCTTAAACATTTAGATGCCACACTTCTGTGATAACTGGCTCACAGCAATGTCTGCAAACAACTGAGATTGGCAGATATTTAGCAACTATAACAGCCAATGCAGGCAGGAAGGTAACCCCAGCCAAGGGGAGTCAGGGAGATCTAAAAACAACAGAAGTAGTGTGGTTTGAGGATTAGGGTTGGCCTATTATGTTGATGGACCCAGTGATGGATGGGTTTGAACATGCAATTTTATCACATCAAGGCACTGAGGGTTACAGAGGGCATGGGTAGTTCTGTCAGTATATATGCTCCATAAAGCAGAGCAGATATGGGACTTCTAAGCTGAGAGAGAGCATGTAAGTACCTTTGCAGGCACAATTATACTACTTGTTATATTGCTTATCCAAGCCCCCAATGTCTAAACAACTTTGACTATACTACCATTTTCATTCTGACTTTTGAGTTTTCTAAATCTGAAACACAGCCGATGGATAATGCCAATCACAAGACAGCATTTCCTTAGCAGTGAGTGGGTGATGTGGAACCCATTCTTCATAAATATTGATTTGATAAATTGCAAGATATCAGCAAACAATTCCCATCTGAGCAGGCATCATTCAGCCCAATCTTGGCAGAGTCCGCTGACAAAATTCTAATTGGTCTTTCTTTGCCAGTAATTATGAGCATCTGTTATCAGCAACAGCTCCCATCTATGGCTTCCTTACTTTCCAGTGAATACAAAAAGCTTTTAGTAGCTAAATTTAGTACCATACAGCTTATCCAACAGGTGCCACACTATCACAAGAGGTACTGTAAAACAATCTAAGCCTTGGGTCTAAGACTGGGTTAGAATCAAGCAATTTAGTTATTCGAATTACTGTATATAATTGCCTAAATATAAGAACATAACTAGAACTAATGGATAAAATTCAAGTGTATCTTTATGCAATGCTGACATTGTATATGTTCCTAATTCTTTCCCTGTGCAGCAGTTAACAGGCACATATAAGCTTGGGTTCAGATCGAACCCAGAAGTAAGTAGTCAATGCCACCTGATCAACTGCAGCCAGGGAATTCCCCACACCTAGCTGCATGTACACAAATGTGCGGGGATGCTTGTGACACCTTATAATAATAGAACCCCATTCCGAGTGGGAAATGCTCTGGCTGCAGTAGATTTTAAGCAGTGGGTGGTGTAACGATTGTGCGCAATAGGGACATGGAAGCTGTAGGCGACAGCCATCTTGTTAAAGTCTTGGCAATTTTGTTTATTATGAGCAATGATCTTCCTCCCCTCCCTCCTCCTGAAAATTGTGGATTTTGTAGCTGTAAGTTTTAACAAACTTCAGCCTCCAGACCTGGTCAGAGCTGTAAATAGCTAATTAGTCTTGGCAGGATGTCTGTTTTCACGAACCTCCCCTCCTCCTATCTCTAGTCTAATCCTAGTTTTATAACCATTGGTGCTGTATACATTTGTTTGTGTGTGTTTTTTTTGGGGTTCCCCCCCCCCCCAGAGATTGTTTATTTTTAATTTTTTTACATTCTGCTAAAACTTTGCGAAGTAGTACTGCTTGGACCTTGAAGATGGGGACATACCCTGAAAGCTTGTCCTGAAAATTGTATGTTAGTGCACATAAAAAAAATATCACGGACAATACACGTTTCTAGTCACAAATCATGAAAAACTCTTTCCTCTGCCCTATCGTAAAACAATACTAACTCAGTCAAGCCTGCCACACATGATCTGTAAGGCCATTTAAGCTCTAGGAATGAAGAGCGTGCCATAAAATGTCTATTCCACATGGAACAGTTCCACATACAATTTGTAGTATTCAATAGGAACAGGGCACATTATTATTAGGTATATATTTCAATGGGGAATATCATACCGAACAAATCAAGGTCATACATGACTATGTTAGCACATACAAAAAGGGAAAAAAGCAGTCTCCTCCTGCCTGGGTGACAAAGGTACACTGTGTTTGGTATCCCTGGATACGAAATATAATTCTG